CCTCTTGCAAACATGCCCAGACAGGGTGGGACAGCGCCTCACCATTCTTGCCAATGAATAGCTTTCTGGCTTTATCCCAAGACAGACTAGCTTGGGTTTTGTTGCTCCCCCACCCCCACCCCCACCCCCATAGTTCCTGATACATCCTACACTCTGCCAACACAGTTCAAAGGCACTAACTCTTCTCCTCGTCTTTATTCACTGTCCAACTCTGTCATGCTTATGAAGCAATGGAACAAACCATGGTGGAGTCAGGCACACCTAATTCTTGCTCTTAGCAGATTTTCTAGTACAAAATGTCTTTTGATTTCTTTACTGCTGCTTCCATGAGGAGGATAGCTCTGGTGGCCTAGTGGGTAAGGAGCTGTGTTCCCAACGCAAAGCTTGAATCCAATCAACCAGTTCTCCTCAGGAGAAAGATGGGCAAGCTCCTCCTATACATTTATAGCCTCCAAAAATTCACTGAAGGGTCAGTTATGAGTTGTTTCCAACCTGAGAACAATGAGAGTGACTGAGCACAATCATGAGAATTAAGTGTGGAGTCAAGTATGATGAAATCACCCCCAATGTCAATCTTTTCCATCTATCATGAGGTTGCCTTCTGGTTCAGGTAAGAAGTTTGTTTGCTTGATATTGAGATGAAACTCAAATGGAAAAGTAATTCAAAGATGATCTTTGATTTTCTTCAGTAAGTGCTTCAAGACCAAAGACCTATTCATTGGCAATAACAATATAAACAGTGGCCATTTTTCATGAACCACGTCAGACAGAGTACATAGGAGACAAATTGACTATATTTGTTCAAAGAAATGATGAAGATGCTCAAACTCGTCAGTCAGAGAAGGTCAGGAGCTATTTGCAGAACTGGGCAATAATTATTCATAAGCAATTTCAAGTTGAAGTGAAATAAAATTAAAACAAGTCCATGAGAGTCAAAGCATGACACTGAGCACCTCTCAAATTGAATTCAGAGACCACCATGAGAATAGATCTGACCAGGAAAAGACTTGGACCAGGATTTCTGGTCTTACAGAGAGCCTGGTGGAACTCCCAAGACTAAGCTAGCACTGTGGCTACGTGTTCACCTTATGCACATGGCAATAGTTGGTTTGAAAGTTTAGTGACAGACTTAAGTTTAGTTCTAGGCTACAAGGACTAGAAGGATATTGGCTGAAAGCAGAGAGTCTAAATATCAGATGTTTACCCATGATTTCGGGAGTATTTAAGTATGTGAATCATAACAAAGTATAAGAAATAATTAATAGAATTGTAGAATGTTTAGTTGTGCTCACATGGAACCCGAATATAGAAAAAGATGCAGTTGTTGTAACGAGAGACAATTGCAAGGAATCCAGGCAGGATTCCACCGCTTCACCACGGATCTGTTAAGAAGACTTGTGCAGTGTCCTGCTGTGCTGTTAACAGGAAGTTAGTGATATAAACCATATGAGGCGCCGCAAGGGGGGAAAATGAGGCATATTTTCCCCTTAGGATTTAGTGTTTTAGGAAATGGAGGGTCACAAGGAGAGTCGGAGATTTCAAGGATGTTGTTCAACATGCATGTTAATCAAATGCTTTGAAAAGCTGGAGTCTATGAAAAGCATGATATCAAGGCTAAAGTCAGACTCTTAGCAACCTGTCATATGAAGATGATGCAACCTTGCTATCAGAAAGCTAAGAGGACTTGAAGCATTTACTGATAAAGATCAAAGACTCTAGTCTTCAGTGTGGATTACACCTCAAGATCAAGAAAACAGAACTCACAAATAGTACAACAGGAACATCATGATGAACAAAAAGACTGAAATTGTCAATGATTTCACTTTATTTTGATCCATAAACAAGTGAAATTCCTTCAGAAAGCATGAGTCAAATGGAACCAAATGATAGACTCACCGGGTATATTCGCTCAAGAGATCTACTTATTAAGCAAATAAAATTAAAAAAGAAAAATATGATGTGTCTCTGATGACTAAGGTGAACCTGATCTAAGTCATGGTATTTTCAGTCACCTGATATGCATGTGAAAACTGGGCAATAAAAAACCCTAAAGAATAAATGATGTATTTGAATATAGTATTGGTGGCAAATACGGAATATATTCATGGAATGCATGAAGAAGAAATACTCTGTCTTGTAAGATGGACAGAATGTTGTCTGGCAATATGATGAATGGGAAGACTTCCTCCCGGACCCTCTGCCTATGTTATCAGGAGAGATGAGCTCCCGAAAAGGCATTAAGCTCCGTAAAGTCGCGTGGCTGCAGCACTGGGCTCATGCACAGCAACAGTCAGGAGGATGGAGTCAGAGCAGGACCACGTGCTTGGCTACCTTGTACACACAGTCAGAATGGGCTTGAAGTGACTCCACTTGTAATAACATGCATGCACCACTGATGTGCCTTTGCATGTATATAGTACGCGTGTGTGATGTGCTTATATATGTATATAGATGTGTTATTATTGCAAGACACCATCAAGTTGACTCCAATCCATAGCAACCCTGTTGTTGTTGTTGTTGTTGCTGATTGCTGTTGAGTCGTGCATGACTCCAGTGACCCTATGAACAAAAGACCTGAGACCTTTCTATAACTATTGTTTCCCCAAGTTCATAGAGTTTCCAAAGGCATGTGGTTTAGAAAGTGGATGTCACTCCTGTTTCCAAACCTGTCTTAAACTGGGAGTTCTACCAAACACTGTCCACCATGGGCAGCCATTATGGCAGTTGAGACCCCAAATGGCACAAGGCTGAGTGTCACAGCAAATCCAGATTACCTCAGCACAGCAGATTGACAGAAGGGTGCTGTACGACATGGAAGAACGTTCCTCCAAAATATAGTAACAAGGGATTGAAATATAATTCCTTGGGCCCAACTTTTAAATATAAGGGCCATCCTGGAGGTCTTTTTGACTCTAAATAAGAGGTTTAAATTAAAAAAAAACAACAACCATACATTCCACACTGACCCTCAACGAAAACAAAAGACATCTTACAGAGTCCAGCCACTTCACCCAGGCTCCAAAGTGGAGATAAGGGCTTGGCCTTAAATGCAAGTATCCTCCTGGAGGTCTTGTTGACTCTAAACAAGAGACTTAAATAAAAACAACCTAACAATCCACAAATATCCTCAACCAAAACTAGAGCACAGAGCCCAGCCGCTTCATCCAAGTCTAAAATAGAGACAAGGGCTTGGTGTTATATGTTGTTGTTAAGTGTCATCTAATACCAATCTTATAAAGAAAAGATCTTAACCTTGTTCTATAACTATTGTCTTTTCTCTAAGTTCACAGGGTTTCCCCAGGCATGTTTAGGAAGTGGATGCCACTCCTGCTTCCAAGCCTGTCTTAATCTGTGAACTCTACCAAACACTGTCAACCTTGTGTAACCATTATGGCATCTGACGGGCCAATGGCACACAGTTCAGTATCACAGCAATCCAAAGTTACCTCAATACAGAGAAATGACAGAACAGTGCTGTACCACTTACGAGTGTTCATTTCAAATAATTAAAACCAGGCCCTCTGGTTCATGGCCCTCAGACCCAAATGAATGTTAAAGACCCCAGGCCCACAGACCAGGCTCTTACTGGTTCCACCAAGAGGCTCTGGCCAACCACAATAATCCAGAGCCAACTCCCACCCAACACACAGAAGGACTCACCCCTCCAAAGCCACACACTTTTTCAAAGACACCAGGCTCGCGCACCAAGCTCTCACTGGCTCCAACAAGAGGCTTCCGGCCAATCAGACAATCCAGAGCCAACCTCCATCCAACACAGAGAAGGACAACGTAGGGACCAAGCAACCCTAGGAACATAAACAATCCTCCATGGAGTATCCTGGCTGCACTTCTTCTAAGACTAATTTATTTTTTTGCAGTTTGTCATATCAGTATTATTTCCAACACCACAATTCAATGGCATTACTTCTTTTGTCTCCCTTATTAATCATTCCATTTTGTCATACATATATAACAACTGTAAACACCACGCCATGGGGCCTGGGGCACCTTAGTCTTTAAACTGACATCTGTGCTCTTTAGCATTTTTCATGAGATCCTCGACAGCAGATGTGCCCAATGCAACTTTTCATTTCTTGACTGCTACTGCCTTGGGCGTTCACTGTGGAACAAGTCAAAGGAAACTCTTAGCAACTTCAATCTTTTCTCCATCGACTCCAATGCTGCCTATCGTTGGTTCAGAAGGAAACAATTTTGTTTCATTGATATCAAGAGCGTAATCCATAGTGAAGGCTGTAAGCTCTGCTTTTCTTCAGTGCATGGTAAAATGTCTTGACTTTCTGCAAGCAAAGTTGTGTCATCTGCATAACACAGATTGCTGATGACTTTGTCTCTGAGCCTGATGCCACATACATTTTCATATAGTTCAGCTTCTCAAAGTATTTGCTCAGCCTTTGGATTTTATTGGTACTGAGAAAGCACACAGACCTGAAGCGTACCTTCCCTGATTTTAAACCATGCTGCTTCCTCTGGTTCTATTTGAACAACAGTGTTCTGGCCTATGGACAAGTTTTTCACGAGCACAGTTAATCTTTCTGAATTCCTTTTATTCTCAGTGTCATCCTTAACGTTATATTAGTGGACACGTGTGGATGTCTAAGGAGTAATAATGTATAACTGGCTGTGAGAATGAGAAAAGAAAGAGAGTCCAAAGGCCATGTGGGTCATGGTCTAAAACTAGTAACTGATCAGGGGTAACAATAAAGCCTTGTTTAGCAGATTTAGGAAAGGGACATTAAGTTGATGTCTTTCTTGCCAGGAAAACATCCTTATTGGAATGAGTTAATTTTGTTAATAAGCTTCTCTGAGAGAGGTATATTTTGCGTGGTTTCTCATATCTCAGTTGCCAGGCTTTAGCTGTGTTCATTTTTTCAAGTTTCCCGGAATTTACAGGAGTAATAACAGTGCATACACACATGCTGCAGGTCCTGACCTGAAGACCCCTCCACAAACACAGAGAGCAGATGCAGACCACTTCTTACCTCCAGCATGAGGCGGGGGTCCACACAGCAGGACCACCCCCTGCCCTTCACGTACTGACACTGTGCTTCTCATCCGGGTCTTAAAATTTTCCAGATCTGATTAGAAAACAGAACAAAACTGTATTTTAGAACAAAACCCCAACAGTTATGAACATTTTCACACACAGACATGGTTCCCTTCTAGAGGACATTGTAAAAATCTGTCTCAGGAACCAAAGGAGAAAACTTGCCTTGGGAGAAGAAAGAAGGATTTTTATTTCATCCTGGAAAGGGTTAAACTGGGTGGCTCCCTGGAGTAAAGGATTCTGAGGCTCTGTCTAACATTCTTTGGACATGTTGTAAGGAGTGACCAGTCCTTGGAGAAGGACATCATGCTTGGGAGGGCGGAGGGCAGGCGCAGGAGAGGAAGGCCCTCTATGGGGTGGATTGATTCAGTGACTGGGGTAATCGGGATGGGTGTATCGGAGATGGTGCGATTGGCACAGGACAGAGCGGAGTTTAGGGCTGTTGTACATAGGGTCGTTATGAGTCGCAAGCAACTCAACGGCACACAGCAGCAACAACAACAACAATAACATTTCTAGAACTCAGCACAGTATACATACATGTATGTACATATATACAGGTACAAGAAGGTAGATATCTATAAATAGGTATATATTTTATTTATACATCAATCTATCTATCTGTCTTCACTGAAAGACAAGGTGTATATAGGTATAGATGAAACATGAGAATTAATGATCTAGATAATACGGTTCCAAGTAGGAGATGAAGTATTTTGAATCAGAAGCTTATTTAGGTGTAAACTGCATATGTGACACAGTAAAATCAGCATATCATTGGTAAACTTTTACCATCTAACCTTGTAATGAGTTCTTCCTTAAAATATTTCATTACAAATTAATAAAACAGATCTATAATTATGAACATTACATTTGGAATTTTTAAAAAATATTCAACTTATGGATAAGCGTTTTCTTTACTCCATGTCTTGTAAGGGTTCCAGGAATGATATATATCAAATCAGTACAATTAATTACCAATTAAATGTAGTAATTCAAAGGATATAAATTTAGACTTGCAAGTTTCTTTTATTTATAGCTCTAAAAAAAACCTCTACATTTTTTAATCATCCAAGGAATATTTAAATGTTTAGTAAAGTTTTTAAAAAGTAGCAATCAAACATATAAACTATTCTGATTACCAGTGATTATTTTTAGGAAAAAAAATAAATGTAATTTCTTCCTGTAACAACTCGAAGTGGGAAATAGTCAATCATTTACACTCTTCGGCTTAAATTACAGCATACAAACAATTCTACTGCCTTCCTTTTTCAAAGGCTTATTAAATCTGTGGGGGGAAAGGAAGACAGAGCTACTGTTTCTCCAAATTCTAATATTTTTAAAAAAGAGATGCTTGTGAATTATACATTTAATACACTCAATGGCAATACTCTCTGTAGCAGAGCAATTGCAATGTCAGTCTGTGACAGAGTGCATTCACTTCATAGCTCTAAATGGCTGATACAAATGGCCTATGTGGTGACAATATAAAGGAAGGCAGTGGGTTTATTTGAGAATGCAACGTGGAAAAACTTCGACTTTGCCTTGAAAAATGAACAAAGCGAGATAATGATCTTTAAACAAATAAAATTGCAAACTGTAGTAGATACTTATGAATATTCAAAATATCATGAATCAGTGCATTGGAGGACTGTATGAAGGTCTTGGGCTTGCCTTTTATCGTTACTGAAAAATAGTCTTCAGTTGCTGGGTTATAAGCATAGAGTCAAACAATTTAGCCAAACTCACATATGTGTATCCATAAAAGAAGGAAAAAAAACAGCCAGAGAGGGTTTATTTTAGCCAAAGGTTATCCTACAGAAATATTATGACACAGTAGCATTCGATCATCTCAAATCTGTAGCTAAAATGCAACATTAGGAAAACATTAAAGTCCTTGAAGTGTAACTAAGATTGTGAAATTGGGCCATCCACCGGCTTCCCAATAGCTAAACCGGAAAGTACGACATCGTACAATGTACCATATACACGGAAAAATAATTTCAAGATTATTTTCCAGCCATCAAATACATAATAACATTGCAGTTTTCTGCCCAATTCCTTCATTTCTTGTGCCACATAATTTCACACTCTGGAGAGTATTCATTACTGATCTCCCCAGAATGTACAAGAAAGGATAACATAGTTCTACATAAATCACATTCTCTCCTCAAAGACCAACCTCTCTTCTCTAAACACAAACACTGTCCAACACAGCTCTGAGTCCTCCCTCTAGCCCATCAACAAACAAACAGTCGTCACGGCGCTGATTGTGACTCAGGGCAGCTCGACATGGTGTGGTCTGAGCAGGGCGCTTTCAAATGGCTCAAGATTCGGAAGTCAATCTCTGCCATTCTTCTAAGGCATCTCAGGTGCACTTGACCTCCGTCCAAATCTTTCGGTTAGCACCTGAGCAGGATGAAGTCTTAATTGGCCAGGAACAGCGTTCCTTGTACCCAAAATGTTCAATTGATGTTGCTGTTGTTATGAAATGATGTCAAGTACTCATAGTGACCCTGTGAACAACAGACTGAAATCTTTCCCTATCTTGTAACATCCTCACGATCTTGGCCCACTGCCGCAGTCACAATGTCAGCCCCTCTTTGAGGGTCTTCCTCACTTTCACTGAGCCGGTATTTTTCTCACCATGATTTTATCCCAAGGACTGGCCCTTCTTGACAACAGGCACAAATAACACGAGATGTACTTTCACCATTGTTTTCTCCAAGGAGCATCCTGGCTGCCTTCCTCCACCGCAGATTTGTTTGTTGCTTTGACTTCAGCTGGTCAGGTAATGGGGCACAGGTATTTAGCAAAGCAAATAGAAGTAACTTTAGATGCACCACTGTATTTTTATGGCTTTCCAGTCAGCACAGCGCTGGCTACATACGCGGGTGCCCAGAAAGTAGCAGCTGCTGGGTTCTAGGCTTACGTGACAAGAGTGTGGTCCAAGCAACCCACGATCATGTAAAAAACTCACTTACAACTTCAGGTTTCTGTGAGTCCCTGAAAGCACCGTGATGGAAATATCCTTTTTGCACAGTGTACTTGGTTACTGTTGAGAGAGACCACATGCAGAAGAACATGCACCAATTCACCTGTTTCTGCATGGACAGTTGGGTGACACTGAGCACATTCTCCAAATTCCCCAAACATTTTCTCCCCCAAGTTCAGAGCTGTCTCTTTGTTCAGTAACATAAACTCACCTAACATTTCAAGTTCGTTTTGCCACTTTGATCCTATATAGAGCTCTGTTGGCCCAGTGGGTAGGGAGTTGCATTGCCAACTTGAAGGCAGGTAGTTCAAATCCAATGATTGCTCCATGGGAGAAACATGGGTTATCGCCTCCTGTGTAATTTACTTATTTGCTCTTTCATTATGGTTTCAATGAAAGTTTACAAAGAAGTTGAATTTTCACTCATGCATTGTTGCACATTTCCCTTCCTAGTTTACATTTTAAAAAAATTCATTGCTGCTTCCCCCTACCCCCCCCCCAGGCCACGTTACTATGCACCTCTCATTCTGGACTGTTGTCATACAAATAATACCTAAACATATATTCCTTTTAAACAGTTATTTCCTTCAGGCCATGATTTTCTCAGTCAGCTCCTATGCATCAGAGAGCTGGACAAGGAATAAGGATGACAGAAGAACAATCTGTGCCCTTGAGTTGTGGTGCTGGAGAAGAGTACTGACGATCCTCTGGACTGCCAAAGGAATGAACAGATATGTCTTGAAGAAAGTGTAGCCAGAGTGCTCCTTAGAGGCAAGGAGAGTGAAGTTTTGGCTCTCATCTTGTTGGACATGTTGCTAGGAGATGTTACTCCTTGGAAAAGGTCATCATGCAGGAAAGATGGAGAGTTGGTTAAGGGGAGGAAGATCCCCACCAAGGTGGACAGACACAGTGGCTGCAGCAACGGGCTCAAGTGGATCGGAGATAATGAGGTTGGTACACGGGAGGGCAGGGTCCGGGTCAGTTGTTCATAGGGTTGTTACAAGTCATACTTGACTCAATATCACCTAACAACAACGATAACAACATGTGAAATTTGATATCTGATTCAACTTCCCCCAATCTGCTGGTGTTTATTTCTCCATGATAGTTCTTCTAGGTAGTCAATTATAAATAGAGTTTGTGAAATGCAATCTACAGTGCACAAGTCTATAGCTGAAAATGAGTCAAAAGAAACATTGCAATTTCTCAACAAGTAAGTTCGGGAAACTTTGTGTTAAACTGAGGTAAACGAGTTTCATTAAGTCGGGTTCCTCACGGATCTTAATGTAAAAGTGTGCATTATTAAAATGGATCTTAGAGTTTCCTAAACACATTTGAGCAAAGAATCTCGTGCAAAGCACTTTAGAGGAAATGCTAGAAAAATCCACGTGTGCAACTGGGTACATACATTTTTAAAAAATTGAAAATAAGAAACTGCCAAGAAAGCCAAACCATTTCCCATAAGAGGATTAAGATAAAAGTAGAAACGTCTGCAACTGTGACCAGCAGATGAGGTAGTTCTAAAATGTAAGAATGCAGAGCTCGGCCTCAAAATATCTTGTGATCACTTGCAATTATCACATGAGGAGTTAATAAAATCATTACCACCGGAAACTGCAAATGTATTTTCCTCCTGTGGAACAATCTCATTCCACGCTATGAGGTGAAATTTTACCGTATGCCTTAAAATGCATAATATTATTCAGTAGCAACAGTTAAAGAAATGGTGCACAATTGCAGGCAATGTAACAATCTCTGCTGTCTACCTTTGCTGTTTGCTATTACACGCGATGGAGAGATTTTTCAACTCACTGTGGCCCCATCTAATAGAGCAGACTCAGCCCAGAGGGTTTACTTGGCTGTAACTGCCTTTAATATTTAATGATGAAATGCTTAGTGGTTGGTAGTTATCAAATTAAACCATTTCCCCAACAGGGTAGATGACAAAGCTATCTTTCGAAAGAATCAGGTGGCTGCCAATGAAACAAAGTCACCCAAGCCACACAAAAGCTGAGAAATAAAACTCAATTAACATA